AATATGTGGGTCGGCGATTTAAGCTTTGAATACACGATTATTAATATTTAAAACCACGGTTATTTAAAGCCTTAATTCATATTTGATTGAGGACCAGTTTATTTGTCTAAATATGATATGAACTGCATTTAGTGCACAGTTATAGAATTATTAGGAGCTAGAGAGAATATGATGAAAGTGCTAAATTCAACAATGAGCAGAGTTCGTTCTATGTACACCTTGATTCTTAATCGCGGACGACCGCTTCTTAGCTCCAGATTTAAGCTCCAATCGTTCGGGGAATATCTAATTAACTTAATTTTAGAAAATTTTGTTTAATTTTAGTGGCCGGCAAGTATCACAAACACATTTATAAAAAAAATAAAGACTGAAATTAAAAAAATGCAAAAAGCTGGTAAAAAGAACTCGCAAAAAGCATGTGAGCGTGACGAAAGAGTCGCTCCGTCTAACACAGACAGGAAGATAGAAGAGGCAAAAATGAAGAGGTACAGTGGCTATTTGTAGGCCAAAAACCGGGACCCTTTAGGGCCCGGTAGGTGCCCGCGGACATGGCCGGCGGGGTAAGGTGCCCGCCGTGAGGCGGCGGCACGGTCTATCCACAGCCGACTTTCTCTGATCAGCCACCGACTCTGACACACTCTCGATCCCCAACTACCACAGTCAAGACACCATCTTTGCGGCTCCCACCGCACACACTGTCGCCGCCGTATGTTCCCAGGCACGGCCGGGGAGCCGCCTCGTGCTTCGGGCGGCGGCCCTTGGGCCTTTCACTCCAAGAGGAGTTTTCAGGAGTTTCGGAACCTCCCGCAAAAATATCTCGGGACCTGTTCTGTGATCCTCGCGACATTACCCGGACGTTTTAAGTACCCATATTGGCTACTTTCGGGCTGCCGCGACATTCCGGACGTTTTAAGTACCATATTGGCATACTTTCGGTGAACTTCCAAAATGGCCTTCGGTCCGGTCGGACTGTTTGTAGTCCGGGAAACAGGCACTGTAGCAAAGTCAAATTTACTGTAGCAAATTTTATTATTCGCAGTCCGGAAAAACTAGCTTTTTGAGCCTCAAAATTTGAGTATTCACAGTTGCCCCCCACTAGCTATCATAAAAATGATTTATGAGAGCCAATAGCTGTCTGAAGGAGAAAATTTTGAGGATGGGCAGAGGAGGAAACCCCGCCGTTGGTTTTTTTTTTTTTTTTTTTTTTTACTACAGAATCGAGACTCCTACACACCAAACCACAAACAGCATACAAGAGCATAGTCCAGTACGTCCTCCGATGAAACCATGCCAACGCTCACCATAGCATAAGGTATGGGAGGACCGATAAGCACATAAAAAAACACACCACCTAAAACACTAACCAACTACCGGCTGCGTCCGACAGACAGTCACAAAACTCGTAAAGAGATAACACCGTATTCACCTACACCATCCCTCGGTATACAACTAAAAAAATCCCACCACCATAAATTCTCGAGTCATCAAATGAATAAACCAAAGACTTAAACCAACTAACGAAATCACCCTCACCTAGCTAACAGCTACAACCAATCTAACCCTACTCCCTTCAGCGCGCGTCACACCATCACCTGTGCATACGCCCCGAATCACAAGCTAGATACACCCCGACCAGAAGACTCGAAGAGAACACATCAAACCCAAATTTCTAGCCGCCTCCACACAATAGTACTCACCGCCCATCCTAATTCTGAGCATACATCATCTACGTACCACACAGACGGGAAAATAGAAGGGCAGGAGGAGGAAACCCCGCCGTTGGTTTTTTTTTTTTTTTCTTTTGTTTTTGTTGAAATGAAATGAATCAAATGCCATGGATTTATGTTTGACAGTCTTAAAGATGTTTTTGCCTTCTTTGAGGACTTGAAAAGATGTTTTGCCTCTTAATGAGGACGCTCGAAAAAGATGTTTTGCCTCTTAGAGGGCTTGAAAAAAGATGTTCTTGCCTCTTAATGTATGGTGGCTTTCGAAAAAGATGTTTGCTCTTGATGAGCGTGGCTTGGAAAGATTTGCCTCTTATATGGAGGGCTTGAAAAGATGTTTTGCCTCTTTGATGAGCGCTTTGGAAAGATGTTTTCGCCTCTTACGATGAGGGCGACTTGGAACAACATATTTCTGCCCTCTTAAGTGGAGGACGCACTTGGAAAAGGATGTTTATGCCTCCTTGATTGACGGACTTGGAAAGATATTTTGGGCTCTTAATGCGAGGCTTTGAAAAGGACTGTTTTTGCCTCTATCAAGACTGATGCAGCCGCACCAGACGGCTATGGGACGAGTGAGGATACTCTGTTTGATCATCACATTCGATATGACGTGCTTGCGTCATCAAGATGTTTTGCCTCTTAGAGACTCGAAAAACAAATGGTATAATTTGCCTCTTAATGGCAAGCGATATGTCGCTAAAACGTATAGTCTTCTGCACTTCTTATATGATGATATAAGCACTGCTCCTGCTAGCGCTCTGGAAGCGAGATCTCAAATAGAGATATAGATGCGTGCTAAGTAAGGAAATATAATAAATTATATCCACATACGACTTCTCTCGATATATATATAATATGAAGAACGATGTTTTGCCTCTTAACTTGCTGAAGAGATGGTTTGCACGTTCTTAATGAGGGCTTTTTCGAAAAAGAGAATTTGTTTTATTTTTTGTTTTTTCTTTAAGAAACCAAGTGTCCACCTAAAAAGTCGAAACGATCAAATGGCTTTGGTTTTGACTATGAAAAATGGTTGGTTATTGGTTGTAGCGTTCTTACCCCAAGGTTTTATGTAAAAAGAAAGAGTTAACACTACTTAACCAGCGGTTACTACCCTGGGTTTGTGTAAAAGACATTGGGACGAGTGGTTGGGTTTCACCCAGCGGTTTGTGTATTGTTTTTATTTTTTTACCCCTGAATCCAACTTGGAGCATTTTGCCCCACTGCTTGAGAGAATTTTGATTGCCTTATTAGCTTCGAAATAGAAATTTCTATCTTATGGAAAGCACTAAAAAAGATTCCAGTCGATTACTTCTGCTGATGGGAGAATGGTGAATGGTTCTTATCCACTTATCTTTGCCCCCAGATATTGCGTGCTGGACCATGGAATACTTCAACGAACAATTGGTTGTGTTTGTACTTGTCCAATCGATTTGAGGATCAAGCAGAAACAAAGCCACTTATACTGACTCGAGGAAACGGACACCATGTGGATGACATCGCCTCGTCTGAAAGGATCGAAGAAACGGATTGGGCCCGAGTGGAGACAGGTATTAATGAATTACCTACTCAACCAATTATTGTTTGGACATGCTTCAAGCGTCTTTTTTGGAAAACCCAGGGGATTGAATTGACCATTTTCCTCTCTCTCTTTTTTATTTCGAGGAATGACTTCTTAAGGGAGTGGCGCTTCACAAACGAAACTTTTGCAGGAATGACTCGATTTTTGTGACTCTTGTGCGAATGACCACTGGCGTGATTGGAGACTTGATTTTAGAGGGACTCATTGGAGTACTCGATTTAGAGACTGCCAAATTTTTCTTGCTAGTGAATTTTGACTCGAAGGAAACTCAGTGATTCCTGGAAAAATATGATTTATTATTACTCCCAAGGAGAACCTTTTGAAAGGGATTTTTTCATTTTTATTTTTGTTTATTTTTAAGGACAGTACTTTGCTGTGTTATCCTACAAAAATGGACTCTCTAAAAGAATTCATGAAAGCGACTTTTTTTTTTTTTTTTCTTTGCCCTAGGTAGCCGCCCGCTCTTCCGGCGTTTTCGACCTCTAGGCAGGGCTCTTTGCCCTCAACTTTTGCCTTTAGACCGCCCTTTCGGGGGTTTTTCAGCCTAGCGCGGCTTCAATTCGTTGCCTTGAAGCCGCCCTTTCGGTGCATTTTCAACTCCAGCTTTTTATTTTTCTTTCTTCTTCCTTTATTTTTATTCATTATTTTTTTTTATTTTTTATATTGGCCCAAAGAGAAAATGCTCTTTTTATGATTGCAAACTTATGTTTGCGTGACGCTGCCTTTGCGACCTGCCTTACGATCTCAAGAAAGCTCTATCGGGAGATGGGGAGAATCAGGTCTTTCGTAAGTTCCTTCTAGGGATGCGAAAACTTCAGTTGCTCGGTGGTGTGCCGGAACTTCATCTCCGATTGTCATGTTAGTGCGGAATTCCTTTTCCGGTCTTTTGCTGCATAATTTATTTCTGGACTTGCTGGTTGGGGGAAAAATTTCAATTCCACCTTAATGCTGGATTGATGGCATTCATATCCGATGTTGATTTTCTTCGGGATTCCTTCCCGTGACTTTGATATTAATACAGAATTCATTTTCTGACATTGACTTTCTTCGGCGGGATTTTTCTTTCCCGGCTTCGATGTTACTCTGCGGGATTCCTTCCCGGTGATGTCCTTGCGGGAGATTTCTTGGATTCCTTCCCGACTGGATGTCTTTGCGGGATTCCTTCCCGACTTGATGTTGATGCAGAATTCATTTCTGACATTGATTTCTTCGCGAGATTTCTTTCCGGCTTGATGTCTTCGCGGGATTCCTTCCCGGCTTGATGTCTCTGCGAGATTCCTTCCCAACTTGATGTCTTTGCGGGATTCCTTCCCGACTTGATGTCTTTGCGGGATTCATCCCCAACTTGATGTTGATGCGGAATTCATTTCTGACTTGATTTCTTCGCGGGATTCCTTCCCGGCTTGATGTTGTGAATACTCAAATTTTGAGGCTCAAAAAGCCTGTTGGTTGACTTTGCTACAGTAAATTTGACTGTGCTACAATGAATTTGCTACAGCATCATTTCTAACTTGATTTCTTAATTGGCTACAGTGCATTTGTACAGTAAATTTGACTTTTCTACAGGTAACTTTGGACTTCACAAAGAGCCTCAAAGAGCCATTTTTTCCGGACTTGCAAACAGTCCGGCCGGACCGCGAGGCCCCCAAATTTTATTTTTTTTTTTTTTCCGGAAGTTCACCGAAAATATTATCAATATGCGTACTGAAACGTACTTAGTTCCTGAATTTTACCCGAGGATCGCCGGAAACATGGTCCCGGAATATTTTCGGAGGTCCGAAACTCCCAAAAACAAGCTCCCGAAGCGGAACACACGAGTGCGCCGGGCACCGGCCAACGGGCGCGCCAGCCCCCCACCAAGGCGCGGGCGACAGCCCCTCGCCAGCGCGGGCGAGAACTCCCTCGCCCTCATTCGCGGGCGGGGACCTCGCCAGCGCGGGCGGGGACCTCGGCCACCTGCGCGGGCAGCAGGCCCCTCGCAACCGCGCCCTCAACGGGCGAGGCCCTCCGCCGCGCCGGCGCGAGACCCCTACGCCCCGCCGCGGGCGAAACCTCTCGCCATCGCTGGCGCCGGGCTGAGGCCTCCCGCGACCGCGCCAGCGGGCGAGGACTCTCGCCCCCGCGCGGGCGAGACCTTTCCCGCACCGCCGCGACTGGGCGAGGGGCCTTCTTCGCCCGACAGCGGGCGAACGGCCTCGCCGGCCGCCCACCGCGCCGTCACGAGGGCGAGTCCGCTCGCCCCAGCGCGGGGCGAGCCTTCTCGTCCCGCGGCAATGCGAGTGGCCTGATCGCCCCGCTGCGCAGGCCTGGCACCCCCCGTCGCGCCCTTGGGCGAGGCCTGCCGCCAGGCACACGCGGGGGCCCTTCATCGCCCTGCAGCCGGGCGGGGCCTGTCGCCCCACCGACAGGCGGTAGCTCATCGATGCCTGGGCGGCAGCTAGCACACCCGCCCATGCACTCTCTCTCTCCGCGGTGGCGGTACCTCGCTCTCCCGGCGCAGCCACCGCGCCCCCGGGACCCGAAAATGGCCTATAAATTAGGCCATTTTCAGGGCTGTTATCTTGGCCCACATTCTTGTCTTGTATTGACGGACGCGAAAAAAACCTCTTCTCTCACGGCTCCCTTGCGTCTTCTTCTCTACCGCTTTCTTTATTGCATTTTCCCTAATTTTAATCTCTTATATGCACTTTTCATTGCCTGATATTTTGCCGTCACTAAAATTAAACAAAAAATTAAAATTAATAGATATACCTAAACGGCAGGAGCTATAATCTGGAGTTAAGAAGTGGCACGTACGATTAAAATCAGGTACGTTAAATAAAATTCCGGAGCCTATTTTAATTTTAGCACTTCATGCATGCTTCTCTTCTGACTCTCAATCATTCTATAACTGCATAAAAAAGCATGCACGGTTCAACTAAATATCCGCTTAATCAAAACAAATCAACTTTTTACGGCATAAAGTCGTAAATACGCAAAACCATTTTTGCGCGAAAACGTCCTCTTAAAATCAACACTTTTCGACTAAAAGGTCATAAGAATTCAACCAGTTTTAGCCGGACACAAAATCGCTTTAAAATCGACATCTTTTTTCGGCAAAAATGCCTTAAAATTCAATCATCTTTTCGCGTTTAAAACCGTAAAGATCAACCATTTTAGCGACAAATCGGCTTAAAATGACATTTTGGCAAAATTGCCTTAAAATCAATCTTTTCCGCGTTTTAAATATCCAAAATCAATCATTTTTAGCGAAACAAATCGCTTAAAATCGACATTGGCAAAATGCCTTAAAATCAAAATCATTTTCGCCGGTTTAAACCGTAAAAAATCAACCATCTTTAGCGACCATAAATTCGCTTAAAATCCGACATTTTGGCCAAAATGTATCCTTTAAAAATCAATCATTTTCGGTTTTTAAAACCGTAAAATCACACCATTTTAGCGATCAAATCGCTTAATATACCTATTATGGAACAAATGCCTTAAAATCAATTCATTCGGGTTTAAAACCGTTAAAATCCAACCATTTAGCGACACAAAATCTGTTTAAATCGACATTTGGCAAAAGTGCCTCAAAACAAATCGATTTTTTCGGCCTTTAAAACCGTAAAAATCAACCATTTTAGCCGACAAATTCGCTTAAATATCGACCATTTTTGGCAAAATGCCTTAAAATTCAATCTTTTAAGCGACAAATCGTTTTAAATGAACCATTTTTGGCCACAAAAATCGCCTAAATCAAATCAATTTTGGGCAGAAATGCCTAAACAAAATGCACAACCCAAGCCATAACACAGACTCATGCAACCAAAGGCATACACAGCTTCATGCATTAGAGCGATACGGCCATTCAAAAGCCCTTCAAAAGGAATGGCGCTATCGAACTACGTTGACTTTGATCTTCCATTTCAAACGGAAGTACGTAGGGCCACGCTTCGGATTTCACCCGCGGTGGCAAGTCGAAAATCATCAGAAAATCACGTCAAGAAACATTTTCATTTAATCCATCATTTCACCTTGCCAAAGGGCATTCCAATCCATCGGTTAAGTTCATTCAGCATGACATAGTCTCGGGAATCCCCACTCGGGTTCATAGATTTGTGCCTTTAAACATTTGCGAACAATTTAAATCTGAGGAACTAGGTTAATTAAAAAAATGGAGGGTCACTTAGGGGGTTTTTTCCTATTAAAGCGGTGCGTTTTTTAGTTTTTTTACCCGTTGTTTGTTGGTTTTGAGAGAAGGATTTTAAATTTCTTTCCTCTTTTTTTTTTCCA